TTTTCAAATTTAGAAAAAAAATAAAATAAAAAATGATTTTAAGAATAAAAAGAGAATCAATATGGAAGCAATCTAATAAAAGAAGTGATAAAACTCATGTATTCAAACAATAGAGTTTTAGAAATTAAGTTTTGAAAAGTTTTTATTTTTGATAACTTTTCAAATTTAGAAAAAAAAATTAAATGATTTTAAAAATACAAAGAGAATTTTATGGAAGCAATCTAATAAAAGAAGTGATAAAACTCATTGTTCTATGAACCAATCATAGGAAACATTATGGTGTATCATATGCACTTTACAATTAAAAAGAAAAATAGCATAATTTTAATTTTTTGAGTCATAATTTAAAAAAAAATATATATCATAACTAAACACAGTATAAGACATTAGTAAAGAATTCATGAGTCATAATTAAAGAAGAAAATTAGTTATAATTAAAGAAGAAAATAGTATAACTAAGATACATAAAGTACACATCCTTTTTAAAACAATATATGTTAGAATTTCCTACCAATCACATAGATGGTTAAGATTAGTTTAAAGGCGAGATGAATTTAATCCAAATATAAATTTAATACAAAAATAAATGTTTAAAAAGAATTAGTAATCTTACCAAGATAAAAGGTTAATCAAATATTGGGCAAAAATGGTGCTCAATCAGTGCCATTTTCTTACCTAGCCTTCCAAATCAAGATATTTTGTTATGACAGATCAATGGCTCCAATAAAAATAGAGTTAGATTTCTCTAATTTTCTCCTCAAAAAATAAAATGGCGACAAGCTTGTATATTATTTAAACTAATTTTAAACTAATTTAAACTATATTATTTAAACTAATTTTCTCTAATTTCCTTAAGGCACACTAATAAAATACATAATTTAACAGTTAAAAAAAAATAGATCAGGCCTAAATACACACAAATCAAGACAATTGATACTTTGTAATTCTCAAACAGCTAAGGGAATTCAAATTCATTAGTTTATTATTTAAACATCATCAATGAGGTGGGAAGGTCTCTCAGGTTCCAAGTCAATTTGAAAATCAGTACACACAAATCAGAAAGATGGATCGCATAGAAAAATAGCGGACGGAAATCTATGCCGAAGAAACTGAAGAACTTGGAGTTTTATTATAATTATTTAAAATTAATTAGAATTTAATTATAATAATTAATTTTTTTAATTTTTTTAGGATTTTATAAGATTATTTGGAGTTTGCTTATTTAATACATTTTTTTTTATTATTTACAAAAGGTCTCTCAGGTTCCAAGTCAATTTGAAAATCAGTACACACAAATCAGAAAGATGGATCGCATAGAAAAATAGCGGACGGAAATCTATACCGAAGAAACTGAAGAACTTGGAGTTTTATTATAATTATTTAAAATTAATTAGAATTTAATTATAATAATTAATTTTTAAAATTTTTTTAGGATTTTATAAGATTATTTGGAGTTTGCTTATTTAATACATTTTTTTTTTATTATTTACAAAAAGATGTCTAAAAAAATTTAAAAAATAATATGATCTAAATAAATACACTTATCAACCAAGTACACTTATTTAGTACACTCTCAAACAACTCCAACGTGTTTAAGCCAGACAAATAGGTAGACCACGCTAGTCGTGAAGGTAGGGAAAAACAGTGACTTGATGTGCAGTAATGATTCCGCATTTTATTTTGAGTGTACAAATGCAATTCCTCAAATTAAAGCTGAAATGGAGAAGACACTCCAATGGCTTGCTCAGTTGGCTACAAATACTTCCAAGTATGTTGAATGGGATTGTTTAATGAATCTGTCAGCTTTCTGCTTTGCCTGTGCTTGAATTTGAAATCCATTAATATTTTCCTGCTCAAGCTTTTAGCTGCCATATTATGGTCATACATGCATTTACATCTTTTTTCCTTTTTATTTGGCCGACTCGGCTCATCAAGGTTTTGGGTGGGTTGGAGAGTGGGTGAACACCTGATTAGTTATTTGCCTTTCTCTTACTTAGTGCTCATATTTTCATTTTCGTCAACACTGACATTTAGCCGCACATGTTGTTTTCTTGCAGTAATGAGTTTGGCAAGAAGGGGGACACCCATAATAACGTGATTTGCCTCCAGACACTTCATCATGCAGATATGCACAAGATAGACCACTACGTCCTCGAAATGGCAACACGGCTTCACCGTCTAGTCAGTGTTGTGAGAGACAGAGATAATGGAATCTGTAGAGCTTTGCCAGTTCGATCTCCAACCCGCAAAGGAGTGAATCTGCAACCAGTGTTGATGCAGCGACTCCCATTCTTAATCGATTCTCCAAAGGCCCACAATGCCCAATTGTCACTACAAGATAGAAATTTATTGGAAAAAGTGATGAACCGGAAAAAGTTGGGTCCTGGAATAAGCAGAAGTCAGGAATTTGGCTTGGCCAAGAAGAGAGGGAGCAAAGTTTGGGCACTGAGCAGGAGTACAAGGAACTCGCCGAGCTGGCAATCGGAGCTTCCAAAATCTTGTGTTTTGGAAGTAATGGACGGGTTAGATACAATATTTTGAGAGCATTCATTTAATTTCATTATGAGCATTTTTTCTTCATTTATTTATCAAATATTTACATATGTTTATTCTCTCATTGTTGTGTTTTACATATGTTTATTCTCTCATTGTTGTGTATACCTTTTACATATGGTCTTAGATTGATATATAGATAATAATTAAGATTTTGTTGGACTCATAATTTCTGCACCCAGGCAAAAGGAAAAAAGAAAAAAAGAAAAAGTTGTGCTGGACCCTCATGGCCAAATAGCCAGTGGCCTATTGTTGCTAGTAGGGATGTAAGAAAAATCGATAAAACCGAGCTAACCGATCGAAACCGACCAAAATTTTAGTTTTTAGTCTGTTTTTCGTAACATACGGTCTTCATTATGAGCATTTTTTCTTCATTTATTTATCAAATATTTACATATGTTTATTCTCTCATTGTTGTGTATACCTTTTACATATGGTCTTAGATTGATATATAGATAATAATTAAGATTTTGTTGGACTCATAATTTCTGCACCCAGGCAAAAGGAAAAAAGAAAAAAAGAAAAAGTTGTGCTGGACCCTCATGGTCAAATAGCCAGTGGCCTATTGTTGCAAGTAGGGATGTAAGAAAAATCGATAAAACTGAGCTAACCGATCGAAACCAACCAAAATTTTAGTTTTTAGTCTGTTTTTCGTAACATACGGTCTGTTTCGGTTTTGAAACTTTTTGTACCAATGCAAATCGAACCGAGCGAATGTTATATGTAAATATTTTTATGTTATAATTTCTTGAACATTATATGATAAGTAACTAATATAATACATTTTTGTGATAAAAATTAGAGAGAAAAACATTTATAGAGCAATTTTTATATATTTTCTTCATTTATTTTTAATGTAAAATTCTATAATTTAATATATTTTAAAAAAAAATTTCATATAAATTTCTCTTCTACATCAAATTGAAAAAATCAAACCGTAGCATATGGTCTATATCAGTTTCTTAATCATAAAAATTGAAAAGATCGGTGCGGTGCTAAATATACTCTTAACATCGATCAAACCAAACCGCTTACACCCCAAGTTGTAAGAAATTGATGAATGCTCATTTTGTTTTAGAAGTCGGGAAGAGTTGGGTCTTTCTGGTATATAACCCTTGAAATTGAATGTAATATAAGCTTGGGGTATGCTTCTCTCCTGTCCTCATCTCGACCAGAGGTGTGTTGTCTGATTATTTTTTAGGATTCTTCAAGTATATTATTTATATAAAAAAATTAAATTGATTCTATAATTATAACATATTTATTTTATCTCGCATTTGTCCTTAAAAAAATAAATGATTTATTTTTAAAAATATACTTGTTAATTTTTTAGGGACAAATATGATAAAATGAAGATGTTATGATTATGGAATCATCTTAATTTTTTTTTAAATTTTTTTTTATAGATGATATACTTTAGGAGACCTTGAAATCTTCTTTTATTTCTTGAACATTATATGAGAAGTAACTAATGTAATACACTTTTGTGATAAACATTAGAGAGAAAAACATTTACAGAGCAATTTTCATATATTTTCTTCATTTATTTTTAACGTAAAATTCTATATTCTACTATAAATTTTTTAAAAATTTCATATAAATTTATTTTTCTACATCAAATCGACAAAATCGAATCGTAGCATACGGTTTGTATTAGTTTTTAATCATAAAAACTGAAAAGACTGGTGCGGTGCTAAATATACTCTTAATGCCGTCCAAACCGAACCCTTTACACCCCGAATTATAAGAAATTGATGAATGCTCATTTTGTTTTAGAAGTTGGGAAGAGTTGGGTCTTTCTGGTACATAACCCTTGAAATTGAATGTAATATAAGCCTCGGGTATGCTTCTCTCCCGTCCTCATCTTGACTAGAGAGGTATTGTTTAATTATTTTTTAGGATTCTTCAAGTATATTATTTATCAAAAAAAAATTAAATTGATTCAATAATTATAAAATATTTATTTTGTCTCACATTTATCTTTAAAAAAATAATTTATTTTTAAAAATATACTTATCTATTTTTTAAGGACAAATATGATAAAATAAAAATATTATGGAATCATCTTAAATTTTTTTTTATTTATTTTTTTATAGATGATATACATGAGGAAACCTTGAAATCTTTTTACTTTTTAATTTAGAAAATCTTCTTTTATTTTTTGATGTGTATATATTATTCCCTCCCCCTAATCTTTTTACATTTTAATTCAGAAAATCTTTTTTTTATTTTTTGAAGTGTATATATTATTCCCCCCTCCCCCACCACAAAATATGTTTACTTTTTAATTCGGAAGATCTTCTTTTATTTTTTTAAGTGTATATATTATTCCCCCAACTTTATTTTCCCCACAAAATCTTTTTACTTTTTAATTCGGAAGATCTTTTTTTATTTTTTTAAGTGTATATATTATTCCCCCAAATTTATTTTTTAAGTTACGTGAAGAATTTTTTCTAGCAAACTTCTCTCGTCAGTGTGCAACACACACGAGAGATTTTCCTTTTTTCCCTCTGTCCTGCCCCTCCCTTTTTCCATATCACGTTTTGTAGCCCTAGACAACACACTCTCTCTCTCTCTCTCTCACTTGAATGGAGGCAAGCGACGAGCGGCGATCGGCGACCGTGGTGGCGAGCGACGATCGACTATCGGCGACAGTGGCGGCGCGCAGCGATCGAAGCATCGATTCGAAGGTATTCTTCCCTTCTTCTCTTCTCTTCTCTTCTCTTTGATGGATCTTCTCTTCTCAACCTTTGACAGTGGCGATCGAAGGGATTGTTCTCTTCTTTTCATCAAAATGATATTTAGTTACCATTTTTTCGGTTCACTGTCATCCACTCAAAACCCTTTTCCTTTTGAAGAATCATTATTTCAAACCAAACATACTAGAAACGTGTGGGTGTGAATGCATATATTTGTCTGTTAGTTTTATTTTTGATGAAGAATCATTATTTCATATTTTTTCAGTTCATGTTGCTGTGTTGATCCGTTGATATTTTTTCAGTTCATGTTGGGTGTGAATGTATATGTGTGTTGATATTTTTTTTCCCAATTTTCAATTCATGTTGGTGTCTTAAAATTTTCTGATATTTATTTATTATTGGTGTTTGACATTTTGCTGGATAATCTTTTTATTATGAATAACTTTGCCTTTCAGAAGTGTCAAATTATTTTATTACTACTCTCCCCTGATTGTTTATGTGAATTTTTTCATCAGTTTGCATCTTTTGGGATTTTGGCACTTATTTGATGAAGAGAGAGACTTGCTATCTGGGTTGTATTTGATTTCTTGTTTTTGAGTCTCTTTGGTGGTTATTGTCAATGGAAGAGAGTTTCTTTGAAAGAGAAATCATTCTTTCTTTGTCTGTTTTCACACATCTCATGTGCAATGTGCTTGCCTTCTTTGTCTGTTTTGAGATGCTTTGAAAGAGAAATCATTCCTTCTTTGTATTTCTGTGTAGTTTTGGGCTTTTTATCATGATAATGAAAAACATTTCTGTGTAGTTTTGGGCTTTTTATCATGATTATGAAAAACATACTTGGAAAGTTTATTGAAAATATAGTTTCTTCTATTGACAGTTATAGAAGAGAACTACACCATGATTATTTGTAATGGGAATGAACTATTTTCAAGCATATAAAGAGTATAAACAGAAATATATATAATATATAAACTTCCCAAGCATGTGATGACACTGTTTTTTCCCAATGTTTGTTGATTATTGTAGTACATGTGTTGTAGTAAACCATCAAACCGATTCGCATCAATTCGCCAATCCGCTCAATCCGCATCCGCCAATTCGGCGGACAGTTGCGGATTGATTTGCCCCAATCCGCCAAGTTTCGGACCGGTGACGGATTGGGGGTTCCGAGGCTGCAACCGATCCGCGACCACCCCTAGTATATATCACATTTACTTTCTAATTCGGGAATTTTTTTCCTTTCGACTCCATGGATGGAGAAGTGTTTTATGAGATAATAACAAAAAAAGAATTCAACCTTGAAAAAAATATATATGAACAATCATTGAAATTTTTGTGCAAAAGAATTTTCTATATACAAAATTTATGTAAATTTCATTATTTTTGCAAAAAGAAATGGTGACGGGTGAATTATTTGTTTACTGAATATGTTGGTGTTTCCAATTACAACAGTGTGTGGTGTGGTTAAGTGAAAAGGGCATTTGGTTGCCCAGGCATATATATGTTTTGTTTTGTTTTGTTTTGGGGCCAAGGCTAATTAGTAGTATTTATTGTTTTTTGGAGGCTAATATTAACAAGTGCTAACATGGCAGGCTTAATGGTCGGGCTTTTCAGGTGGCCACTCACAGACTAACATGTGGGCCAAGATCCAAAATTCAAGCCCAAACCCAACCCAAGTATTATGCAAACGAGTCTAACCTTGTTTGCATAAAAAAAATGACAATATCAGTTTTTCTTTATCAATAATAAATTATTAATAAAAAAGAATTAAGTGTAAGGCAGCCTAATTTAATTATATTAAAATTATGAAGTTCACTATATTTTCTCCGAACTTTTCATAGGAGGTTAGTGTAATTTACCCTTTAAATAACGTGGGTGGAAAGTCAGACAATAAAGCTCCTGTAATTTACATTCTAGGTATTAAAATTAAATGATACAATAATAATAATATTACATACATAAAATACTATAACCATGATCTACTAAATTCAGATCTACACTATATATTGTGAATATTTTACTAAACATTTGGTTTAGTACATAGCATTTCTAATCTCTAATACAATAAAGCTATGCTAATGTTATCAAATCATGCCCCATTTGGGATCCAAAGTTTGGCTAAAATAGTCAATAAAGACCACAAAAAAAAAAAGTTAATAATAAAATATCACATCAAAACTATAATCATTTTAATAGTTAAGGTTTCCAAACAGGCCTCAATATCAATTTAGAGAGTTATTTTAATCAGGAAGAATGAAAAACTAAAAAAATGATTTATAACATCATCACCACGGTGGTTAGATGGTTGCAGCAGTGCCTTCATCTCCTTGATCTTAATCATTCTCCTTCTCCTTCCTTTAGCTCTGTCATCCATGAGCTCTGTTATGACCCAACGGTTGAGAAGACTCCATCCCATGCAACTAACATCCCAAAGTGGAGAAATTTATACCATTACAATCAACAAAATCCATTGATTGATTCAAATATCTGATTTGGAAATTTCAATACTTATGTTTAATTGATTTCTCGAAAAGCAGTTTTCACTTGCTCGTAAGTGTGCATGTCTGAGACTTTGAGTATGACTGCCCACGTCTGCCAAAGTTTTTCCTCTTTGAAAATTGCATATAACATGTGCTTGCAAATGCATTGTGATAATGCCCAAGCACTAATACCACATTGTGATAATTTGTGTTTCAATTAGCATATTTCCCTTTAAAATCATGATTAGTTTATGACAAAAACCCATCAATTTTGAAGATGATGGCTATGGCATAGGAAGGGAAAAATCTTTGACCATTAAAGTAATCATACCTCTTCTGGTTTTGTTCAATGATCTAAAAGCGGAAACCTTAATCAGCCACTATGAAATCCGGTCTTATTAGCACCTTGAATCAAGGTTTTCAATTCCCCTACTCTGTTTTCCATGCCCTTCTCTCTCTTTCTTCTTATGCACACAAAAAGAACTTGTATATTAGATGAACGAAGTAACAGGGAAACAAAAAACACATAATTAATTAAATGGAAAGATGAAGGGATTTCAAAATACAGCACGTGTGTTTAATGCAATTATCAGTTGTATACACAAATCAGAAAATCACATAGAAAAGTGGTGCCCTTATAGCAAAATATATGCAACTAAAACACAATTCAAAAACAAAAACAAAAACAAATTTTCAATTGAAAATCAAAGTTGGTTTATATGACAAAGCAGATTATTCATTCTGACAATTGCAATTGAGACCATTCCAGAAAAAGTCCAACCAACATCATCAACAATTTAAATTAACCAACTAAAAACAAAATAGTACATAAAAATTTAAGTTGCAATAAGATTTCAATGTCAACTCCAAAAGCTATTAAAAACCACAAATTGAAATTTGATCATGAACAATAAGACCAACTCCGATTGTGAACAATAAGAACAACTCCAATCGCCTTATGGCCGCCAAACACTACCCCATCAAAATCAATTTTATAACAACTTGCTAAGGGCACGCTCTACTGAGTTATTGAGGGCAATGAAGAAACCCATCATTCACCGATAACACAAGCACCCAAATCACTTACCATTCAAACAATTTCCCCTACATTTCTACAATTATTATTAAAAATGACTTGGCTACGAGATGTCCACAACTCTCAACACAAAGCCACAAAAAGCCCCACCCCTATGTCATCAAATAAGCTTTCAACCTCACAAAACCAATGGTAAAAATCAGAACAAGAACGCAACTGAGAACACAACGGGAAAGGGCTCATCTGCCACACTTGTTGTGCCAACGGGCAGGCTTAAAACTATACTTAAAACTCTTGTGGAGTTATTATAATCAAGATATATCCCTAATTTAAATGTAAAAAAAAAAATTGAAATAAATGAGAGAGGGGATTCAACTGATAAAATTAGTAAACAGAGGATTAAAAAACTGACATTGATGTACTTTTTTCACATACTTCTTAACCTATTCTTCTTGATCAGAAGCAAGAAGGCCATCTTCATATTACTAAACAAAGTTTTGAAACATTTTTATAAAATACTTCTAAAGTAAATTTAAACGTACTACTGAACTAAAAACAAAATAATTTCCTCCCATTAATGAACAGAAATAGACTTGGACATGGTGGAAATAACGATTGTAATCTCCAAATCTCTACTCGACTACTTCAATTTCACTTGCGACATCAGATCTTTGCTCCCTGCCACCCGCTAAAGTCTCCACCTTCTCATTAGCATTCTTAGTTCTATCACCCACAGAAATTTCAGGCATCTTCTCACATGTATCATAGTATTCAGTCAGAGGAGTTGGAGGGTGAACTTGGATATCCAAAAGATCATTGTCGGGAGAACTTTCATGTGTCATTCCTTCTTTCAAGAACAATGGTTTTTTTTTTTTTTGGATAAGACATTATAACCAGAAAAGAAAGATATACAATGAAGTGTAATAATCCAAGAACAATCTTAGGATTAAAAGACTCAAACACCCAATATATGTGTAATAATTTAATAAATAATCAGGAATGATGGTTTCCATGCCATTAAAACTCTCTTGAATGTTTGATTAACCATCAAACTATACAACCCAAAATCGGTAGATGGCTTATAGATTTGAGTGTTTAAGAGAACTATGGAACATGAAGAAATTAAGAGACCCACTATATAGGCTGATGAACAGAAGTGATATGAGGGAAGTATTTTCAATTCATTTTCCAAATAGCCCATATTCTTTACCAAATGATTGATGAATTTCCTTCCTTAGAACATACCCGGCTCCCAAAATAGTTCCCAGTAAGAGATTGCTGATAGTCAGTGTGAAATTCAATTGGATACGACTAAATTTAGAGAAGAAGTTGGGAAGATCAAAACATGTTAGGATGTGTTTTGATAATGCAGTTCGATCGGCAGGGTATGGATCTAATTGATCCAAGCCCTCCACGGGTTGATGGGCCTTCATCCTCCTAATCGCACCTCCAACAAGTTCAGTAGGAAGGTTTCGAAATGGAGGTGGTTCGTTCCTGTGGACCCTTCGACGATCAAGTTAAATGAGGATATGGTCGGGGTCACAGTTTAAGGAGAAGGTTCAAAGTAGAGAGAGAGAGTGAATTACTTGTTGTCAAAACATTCCTCAGAACTTCCTTATATCTCTCTTACTAATCATTTCCTTGTCCATTCATGTTGTCCCGTTGACCGAAAGCCTGCAACCTACTCGCTGTCTGCCATGGCGGATTCACCACGTCCCAGAGCAAGAGGTCTTGTTGTATTTAATGCTTTGACAATCTTATTTAATGTTTGGCACGTGGGCTTAATAACTCTGCAAAATCTTTGTTTGCCAGGTGGCTAATTCCCTACTCGACACGTGTCTAGCTGTAACTAGCTTGGATCACTATGGGTTCTTTGTTCTCTGCTGGGCTCTCTGTTGGGCCTTATTTGGCTGGCTTTATAGTGATAACTAGCCAAGAAATTATCTGGGCCACCTAAGGTAACTGTAGGTTGGGCCCTCCTGGGCTATGCCCATCATGTTTAATCTGTAGTGTGATTAGTTTGGCTGTTTGGGTAGCATGTTTTGATCTTCTCCGCTTCTCTAAATTTAGTTGTGTCCAATTGAATTTTACACTGACTATTAGCAATCTCTTACTGGGAACTATTTTGGAACCCAGGTATGTTTTGATGAAGGAAATTCATTAATCAATTGTTACAAAATATGGGCCATTTGGAAAATTGATTGGAAATACTTGCTTCACATTACTTCTATTCATGTTTCATCTTTTGATTGAGAATTCAATCTATACAATGGGTTTGCTCATTTCTTCATGTTTCGTAGTTCTTTTCAAATCTATAGGCCATCTACCGATTTTGGATTGTATAGTTTGATGGTTAATCAAACATTTAAGAAAGTTTTAATGGCATGAAAACAGTCATGACGCATGAAAGCTCTCCCGACAATGATCTTTTGAAAATCCAATTTCACCTTTCAACTCCTCTGACTGAATACCATGATACATGTGATGAGATACTTGAAAATTTCTGTGGATGATAGAACTGAGAATGCTAATGTGGAGGTGGAGACTTCAGTGGGTGACGAGAAGTAAAGATGTGATGTTGCAAGTGAAATTGGAGTAGTCGAGTAGAGATTTGGAGATTGCAATATTTATTTCCACCATGCCCAAGTTTGTTTTTGTTCGTTAATGGGTGAAAATTATTTTGTTTTTAGTTCAGTAATACGTTTAATTTTACTTTAGAAATTTTTTTTATAAAAATATTTTATTACTTTGTTTAGTAATATGAAAATGGCCTTCTTGCTTCTAATCAAGAGGAATAGGTTAAGAAGTATGTGAGAAGTAAATCAATGTTACTTTTTAAATCATCTGTTTATTAATTTTTTCAGTTTAATCCTCTCTCATTTATTTCAATTGTTGTTTTTTTTAAAAATTAGGAATATATCTTGATTATAATAACTCCACAAGAGTTTTAAGCATGGTTTTAAGCCTGCCCGTTGGCACAACAAGTGTGACAGATGAGCCCTTTCCCGTTGTGTTCTCAATTGCGTTCTTGTTCTGATTTTCGCCATTAGTTTTGTGAGGTTGAAGGCTTATTTGATGACAGGGGTGGGGCTTTTGGTGGCTTTGTGTTGGGGGTTGTGGTCATTTTCAATAATAATTGTAGAAATGCAGGGGAAATTGTTTGAATGGCAAGTGATTTGGTGATGGAGTTTAGTCGCGTGCTTGTGTTATTCGTCGCCCTCAGTAACTCGGTAGAGTGTGCCATTAGCAGGTTGTTATAAAATTGATTTTGATGGGGTAGTGTTTGGCAGCCATATGGCGATCGAAGTTGTTCTTATTCTTCACCATCGGACTTGGTCTTATTGTTTGTGATCTAATTTCAATTTGTGGTTTTTAATAGCTTTTTAGTCAATTTGATCTACACTAAGAGGCTAACTCCTTGATTTGTGTGAACTATATCATGATTTGAATGCTTTGAATAGATTTGAACAAGGTTATCGGCGGAAGCTTGAAGAATTATAGTCCTTAAATCTCCCTCATAAAGGTTAGAAATGGTTATTGTTTTTCTTTTTCTTCTACAATGGTCTTAGATATAGATGAATATCAATTTTGGAGGTAAAATTGTCATATTATCTTCTTTTCCACCCATAGATATATATGGTTGCCTAATGAATCAAAGACTGGATAATAACTGGGGAAAGCATTCATATATATATATATATATATTCTAGGCAACCTACTAGCTGCTGCTTTTCTATTTTTGTTCAGCTTTCATGAAAATTTTGATTTGGTTCATGTTTGTAGTTGTCTTTAAGTGGATATGATGTGATATAATTTTAAGTTCTCATAATAAGATTTTTTTCCTCGCTGGTTCTACTGTTTCTCTGCTATTCAACATTATTATGAAACGAGGCCAGGTTTTTTTGTGGCTCTTCAGTCCTGTTTTTCTAAGAAACGACTCAACCGGTATTAGCAACCATGGTGGCTTGTTCGAAATACTTTTGGTCTAATAGGGATTTTATGAACAAGAAGATCCTAATAAAGAAATTTTTTGCCATGTATAATTGGTTATGGTGAAGAAAATTTTAGAAAGTTTTTCGTAATTCAAAATTCATGGGTTACGAAATGGGGTTTATTTGTGTTGGCGCTTGTCTAGCAATTGGCTTTACCTTGTGTTTTACTTATATATTCTAAATGAAGTTCATGTTTTATTTGTGTTGGCGCTTGTCTAGCAATTGGCTTTACCTTGTGTTTTACTTATATATTCTAAATGAAGTTCATGTTTTATTTGTGTTGGCGCTTGTCTAGCAATTGGCTTTACCTTGTGTTTTACTTATATATTCTAAATGAAGTTCATGTTTTATTTGTGTTGGCGCTTGTCTAGCAATTGGCTTTACCTTGTGTTTTACTTATATATTCTAAATGAAGTTCATGTTTTATTTGTGTTGGCGCTTGTCTAGCAATTGGCTTTACCTTGTGTTTTACTTATATATTCTAAATGAAGTTCATGTTTTATTTGTGTTGGCGCTTGTCTAGCAATTGGCTTTACCTTGTGTTTTACTTATATATTCTAAATGAAGTTCATGTGTGTGGATGGGTATGTCCTTATGTTCTTCTAATTCTTCACCATAGCTTATGGAACATAAAAGATCTTGTAGGATTGTGAAACACTTCTTTTCTGGGCACCCAATGGAAAAAAACTAAAGAAGTTTAATACTGAGAAGGTGGCATACCTTACAAATGCTCAGATTTAGAGTAAGGATGTTCTTATTGCCCATTCACTGAAATCAAGTTTGAGTGATGCAGATAAATGCTGCCACCATGAACTCTTTCATAATGATGGTCCAAGTCCTGGTGATCTTGTGTGATGTCATGATCTCAAAAGGGTTCTTATCCGTAGAACTATTGACTGAATTGTTATAAGCAAATTTTGCACAAATAGTGGTAAATTCCAATTGTCTAAGTTATCACCTAAGCTACAGTTTAATAACCTCAATTTGACCATCGATTTGTAGGTTAAAGGTGGAGAAAAAATAAATGCAAAACTAAAGCACAAAAGCAAATTGTAACAGAAAATTAAACTATCAATTTGTATGCAATATCAAGAGTGTAATTAGTTAACGATCATCCCAATATTTGTAGTCTTAACTAAAAGAAATAAGGAAAGAAATCCTGAATAAATAAAGTACACAAAATTGATTCCCTAAATTAAATATCCCAAAATAAGTCAAGCTTAAAGAAATTAGTCCTGATTCATCTTGGCCTGCTTCATGTAAGTGTAATGAATCTGTGGCTTCCGCATGTGTTCCCCATCACAATGGTTTTTCTTCTTCTTTGTGTCTAGTATAAATTAAAGTGGCGTGAAGAGTGGTATGCTATTTGGAGTTTAGTCTTTCCTTTTGCATGGAAATCATAAACAATATCCTAACTATGAATCACTGTCTAGAAAATGCACATTGTGTATGTGTGCCATGTTCAAGCCTTGGAAATTTGATTTAGCTTTTACTCCCTACGTCCTTTTACTCTCATCTTTTGGAAGGAATAAAGGATGGTATTAATTGGCGAAGGGTTGGATTGAAATATGTGATGTGTTTGGAGAATGTATAGATGATATTTGTTGGTAGGACAGTTGTGAGACTAGGATGGGTACCTCTCCAACCGCTCCTTGAATCGCTTCAACTGTATCTCCTAGAACTGTAAGTAATATGTTCAAACCAATCAACACCGAATTTTCCCTATTACACTTCTAATCATGCTTTCACACGGGTATCCAATGTTGGAAACAGTTCAAAAATGTTTGTGGCCCGGACTGTGCAAGCTGGATGAGCGAACACTGTAATTTCGGAATTGCCTAAAACCATTCATCTCTATAGATGGCATTTCACTTCCCTTTAAAAATTGAAGTTAACAGAATTATCATTATTCTCTTCTGTACATTTAACTGATTTCCATATCATGAACTACAGGTCTGTGCTACATTACTAGATGATTACATTTGGAAAGGTACGTTATCATGATCCTGCCCTTGCTAAATGTAGTTGACTAACCATAAGATAAGCACTTTTCCATGACAAATCATTCTTTATAGTTTTACAGGTTTTGTGCACTGGGAGCAAACCAAATAGCAATGCATGTTCAATGAGAGGAGGAGAGTGTAGACACTTTGCAAGCGCATTCGCAAGGTATGCATTGAAAGCTTTGATTGATTACTACTTTTAAGTGACAGCCAAAAGCTTTATCGTCACCTCCACAGTGTTCAAGACCCAAGAACTTGCAATTAGAAAGTTGTACACATATTTCATAAATAACAATCTACAAATATCAAAGACACACACAACAGTATAATACGAGCAATACAATAGTCATCAGAAGGAGATGATGGTAGTCAAAGTCAACAAATACTGCAACTACTAGTGGAATTTTATAGTAACATTGACAAGCACTAGAGGCGGTGGCTTTAAATTCTATTAGCATACACTGATGAGATTTGAATGACAAATTAGGCCTAGCACACATTAAAAGCTTCACGTCCATAAAACATACAAAACAAGTATCATCCTATGCTAAAAGTACCTGTTAAAAAAGAAAGCTCATTGAACTGGTTTCAGATGAGGTCACAATTTGCAGCACTTTGTTAAGTTGGTGCCCAAAAAAACAAGGAAAACAATCATAATATTGTTGAGTTTTGAACACATGACACAAGTATTTGAACCGTTCCTAATTTAATCTCTTAGCTCCTATCAAGAACAAAATCATGAGTCATATCTGCTAGTACCAACCCACCGTTTCTTAGACATGCATTCAAGTAACAAGAAATATTCAAATCTTCAGGAAGAAATACATCATTTCATAGTGCCTAAGGTGCATCAAAGATGGATGACATTTGAGGCATCTCTGATTGCTACTTCTAGAGTACTGATGAAAATACATAAATCACACATAACAAGGTCTAAAAGGTGATCATTGGTCCTGATAATAACATTGCAGTTCTGAAAAGAAATAAAAAAATAAACTTTTAAGTAGAACATGGGTTGAAAATTTGTTGATTAGTTTTTATATCAGGTAAAAACGAAAGGAAACAATATTTACAATACTAGATTGGGAAAATACCAACATGCTAATTGTTTGATAATGTAGCCATCAGAGAAAATCAAATCCCTTCTCTGAAGACCTTCCTAGCTAACGTCCATGTCCAACAATTAAATACACATGCACCCACTCCGCTTGCACGGGGATTAGATATGCATACAAATATATACGCAAATGTGACACTGATACTAATTTCACTTTTTGTAGTGCAAGGCTTGCCCTTCCAGGTCCAGAAGAGAAAAGTATAGTGAGTTCAACGATTTCCATTGCCGCTGACAAAAGCCCCTTCTGTGGCAATCAAGCTCATGCCACTACCTCCAGCTGATAGCAATGAACCTAAAGATATGCAATTAGTTGTGAGCAAGTATGACCTTATTGTTGAGGAACCAACATCACCGGAACCAGAAACCACTAAAGTAACAAAAAGTGTCATTGATATGAGGATCCTGTTGACATTCCTACAATCAAGCTCAACATTGGATAGTGAAATTACATGGGATTAGATAGTGAAATTGCATTTTTGATTAGATAGTGAAATTATATTTTTGACCCGTGGGATTAGATAGTGAAATTACATTTTTGACCCTTTGCTATTTAATTTCTTTTTCCTCATCTTTTCCACATTTGTTCTTTCATAGTAGCAGAACCCTCGGGCTATTTTTTGCTGAACCTTTGCATCAAGTTTAGAATCTTCATTCAGGTTTGAAACTTATTCTACATCTTTGATTTTGTTTGCTATTTATTTTTTATTTCGATTTTCATTGTTCAATATGTGGAATTTTGAGATTTTTTTGTATGATATCGTTTGTCTTTCCCTTTGATTATTTTGTCCTATTGATATGAGGATTAACAAACGCTAACATAGTAACATTAATTCAATAATTATAACTACTACATTTAAACTAATTAATAGATCATCCATTCATAAAAAAGTCATAATAACCATTATGAATTAACATTAACATTAGAAGGGGGAAAAAAAAAGAATAAAAGTTTTACATATTGTGTGTATATATATATAAACCTATAATTTTTTTTATAAAAAAAAAATACAGTTTTAGATATATATACATATATATAAACATATAATTACAAAAAAATAAAAAGTCTTACATGTGTATATATGTAAACGTATAAAAAAAATAAAAAATAAAAATCAATTTCCTCTCGAAGTCGAGAGCCAGAGTGAGAGAGAGAGAGGGGCTTACCTTCGACATTCGAAGTTGTCTGGATGGAAATCGACCGATGGAGCTCAAATTTATTTATTTTTATTTTTTTTTTAAAAAAAGAGAAATAAATTGATGTTGTTATAAAGGTAATCTTAATAATAAGTAGAAATTCAAACACATGAATCTAATTGCTCTATTTGATGTTCAATTTGAGTATA